AATCAAATGTATAAGTGGAGCTGCAACTTGAAAGAAGTCTTTGATGAAGATCTGATAATAGTTAACAAAGCCCAAAAAGCATTGAACATCTTTTACCATTTTTAGAATCTTTCAATCTATAATTTTTTGAATTTTCTTATGATCTATCACAAATCCATCATTAGAAATGATGTATCCTAAAAAGTCGACTTAAATAGTGTAGAATACACACTTTTCTATCTTGGCATAGAGTCTCACATCTCTTAATTTTTGTAACACACAATGTACATGAAGTTCATATTCATCTGTATTCTTAGAATAGATCAAGATGTCATCCAGATAACAAACAACAAAATCATCTAAAAACTCTCAAAAAACATCATTCATTAGATGTTGAAAAGTTGCCGATACATTTGTAAGTCCAAAGGCATGACATTATATTCAAAATGTCCATACCTAGTTTAAAACATAATCTTCCATTCATCTCCTTCTTTAATACATAATAGATTGTATGCTCTCTGTAGATCTATTTTTATATAGATCTTAGCTTGATTCATTTGATTGAGAAGTCCATATATCAAAGGTTTGTCAAGACAAAGCTCTCATATTGTAAGTGAACTCTTATCAATCTATCAAAGACATAAACTAAAAGACGATGCATAAATCAATGAAATCTGTATCAAAGAAAGAGTAATAATATAAAAATAAAGAAGTACATATATTTTTTTTAAAAATTGAAATATCTTATTGCCAAAAGATAAGAAAACTTGAGACTCTTGAAATTAGAGTAGAAGCAAAAAAAGAGTTGACAAGAGTGAAGAAGGCTTCATTCTTGTCTCTATATATATTATCTAACTAGGGGCTATGTGGCAATGTTCTATACGACCTCCAATATGTGTTGACTTTGTAGGACACATGCTTTAACTTACAAGACAAGTTTTTTTATGCGTGGACCACATAGTTAGCTAGGTCTTTAAGCTAACTACATGTGTGGCACATGGCCAACTTGTTGACCACTTTTTTAACCCAAAAAATCAATTATAGACACCTATAAAGTCAAAGTAGTATCTATAAAGCTTCTAGGAAGCTTTTATGAAAGATATTATAGAATTAACTTATTTTTACCTACTTCTACTTACTTCTACTTATTTATATAGATAATTATTGGCTTATATGTCTATTTCCGTGACATTGTTTTAGAATAGGTGATAGTTGAAGAAGTCCATAAGATTGATGATAAGGAGTTTTTGATTTTCAACAAATATCACATGATTTTATAAAGTCTTTAAACTATCTTTTACATTTGAAGCCACTAAAAAGCTTTAGAAATTAACTCAAAAATCTTATTGTATCCAAAACGTCAAGCTCCTAAAAAATCATGACGAACTTAAAAAATATGTAATCGTATTTTATCTTTTGGAGTAAATAATTATCTCTTAAAACAGAGTAGATTATTTTTCAATTCAAACTTAGAAGTATCATGAAACTTAGAAGAAGCATTTTTAATATTATGAACAACAGAATCAAAGGACATACTCAATTGAACTTGATTGAAAAAATTGAATTAAGAGTTACTATTGATTTAATTGCTTGAAGATGAAAAAAATTCAACTTCAAGAAAATCATTCTTCATTAATCAAAAGTTACATCTTCTTTTTTGGATGTAAGATAAAAAAATGTCTTAATAGGATGTTTGACAAATTCTTTTATTTTTTGAATCAATAAATGATCTTGAAATCAAATCTTAATAAAGACATGATTTAATAAGCTTGGCAATGATTCAAAATACGTGCTACCATAAAATACTCAAGGTTAATGTGTTTTTTATATACAATGACTAGATTAGAAGCACTTTCTTCATAATGATGCCATTTTTTAAATGAATCTATAATTACAAAAAGCTATTTATAAAGGTTCTCGTAATTAATCTCAGTTATTGAAAATTTCTTGAATTGAAAAAATATTTAATGAAGCTTGTCATTTTCTTCTATTTGTAACAATACCACACTCATAGAAAAGTTTGATATATTTATTTTCATAAAGATTGCCATAAAAAAGTTGATATAAGACTATATTGGTGTATGAATGTTGTATTCAAGAGTTCAAAGATATTCCAACTTCTTTGTTCTACTCAAGTTTGTCTTTACAAGTCAAACATGTAAAAAAAGTAATAACTTGAGAAAAGTTCTTAATGAAGATTTAGGAATAATTAGGAAATTTTTAAAAATATTACAAATTTTTAATTATTTTTGAGATCTTCTAATCCATATTAGTTTAGATCTTCTTAGGATCCATTATAAGGCCATTATTTGAAGTGACGTATCTTAGAAAGTCAACTTGAATAGTATGAAAAAACTATTTTTTTATCTTGGTGTATAATCATATATTATTTTAATTTTATAATATATAATAAATATGAAATTCATATTCTTTTATATTCATAGAATAGATTAAAATATTATTTAGATAATAGATAATAAAGTCATTAAGAAATTCACAAAAGTCATAATTCATTAGATATTGAAAAGTAGCTAGTGTATTTATGAATCCTAAAGATATCACATTATATTCAAAATACCTATATTTAACTTGAAATATAGTTTTTTTTTTCATCTTCTTTTTTAATACATATCAATTTGTATGATCCTTATAGATATATTTTTGTATAGATCTTTATTTAATTCAATTAATGAAAAAGTCTTGAAAATAAAAATAAAATATACTTATTTTTTATATTGATCTTATTAAGTCCTTAATAATCTACACACATCCACAAAGATTTGTCTTTTTTTTTTAGAAATAAGATAGAAGATCTAATTAGATTTGTGTTTTTTTTAGAAATAAGATAGGAGCTCTAATTAAAATTTATTTTCTAATTTATCATCTTTTTTTGATAACTATGCTTTCTATTCTATGACTATATTACTCTTTTTGATAATATTAAGTAGTTTACTTATATTCTCTACAATATAAGCACAATCTTTCTTAAGGATGATGAATCTTTTCTTACTCAATAAAAAGTTTGAAATGTACCATGCCAATTTGCATAGGTTTTGGCCTTAATAACTAAGCTTTTAAAAACTTAGAAGTTGTCTCCATGACTTGACTTGTACTTCTATAATCAAACCTTTGTTCTTGGCATCTTTCAAAGAGTTGATTGTCATATGCAATGGCTTGAGCAATAAATTGTTCCAATGAGTCTACTTTCAATATTATCAACATTAAATCTTTGACATTGTCTTTCAACTTATATCAAAATTGATTGATAAGGGCTTTGTCATTCTAATCCATGTCATAAGCAAGGTTTTAGAATTCTACAACATATATAGTAGTTGAATGTAATCCTTGTCATAAATATAGGAGTTTAATCTTTGCTAATACTTTCTCAATTACTTTCTCCAAATGTGACCATAAAGACTTCTAAGAATGAATTTAGTTTATGAAGGAATTATGAATCATTTTTTATCAAAGATGCAAAGTAAGAGAAAGCACTCTCAAATAGAAGTACATCTATGAATTCAACTTGAGTAAATCTATCAAGGTATTGGAAAGGATGCAACCTTAGATAGAACTTCACTTGTTATAGAAATCTTCAAAACTTTGATCTTGTTTTGTCAAACTTCTCCATCATACTTATCTTTGTCTTGGCCATATTTGTCAAAACATGGCTTCTTACAAACAAATGTGAATTTGGTCTACTTGCCTCTCTCAATTGCACAATTTCTTACCTTAGAATATAAACCTCATTGTTGACTTCTTCAATATGCATAGAAATAGTACTTTTATGATTCACTTTAGGAATATGTGAAATTTTGATCTCAAAAGTGTTGATAAGCTTGTGAAGATTTATAATAGTTACAAATCTATTTTAACTTCTACCATGAATAGCATTTTTAATTTTTCTTTTTATACATGACTCAAATTAACCCACAAGTTAAATTTGAGGAAGATAATCTGCAACCTCTAATACTAAATGAAAATTTCCACAAAGAAGGATAGTCCATTCTTTTTAAGAAAAAAAATCAATGTTAAAAAAATTAAATTATTAATTTAAAGATAGATAGTTTGGTATCTTCAAAATACAACAATAGAAGTAGTGTAATCCACTCACTTTCAAAAAATAGAACAAGAACAATAAATTAATACTCTTATCAAATTGAGAAGTACATGAATTTTAAAGAATTAAGAGATCAATAAATTTTTAAAAAATTAGAACATCACTTGAATATTAAACTAAAATGACTATAATTAGAGACAATTGGAAAAAAATTAAAATGTACATAGAACAGAATAAAATATAACTTTAAATATAAACTCACAATATCCTATTTTAAATAGTATAATATGTAACACTTTGTAGAGTGAGCACAATTGGGTTGAATGATGAGATTAAGAGATTGCAACTGTGTCCCACTTGCTAAAAACACCATCTCTTGGATAGAGGCTGGAGCTTCCACTGCACCACAACCATTCACAATGCTTTATTAATTGCTATTTCAGGCTGTGTGCTATGTTGTGAGCTCTAAAACTGTGCAACTGCTTTGAGCTCCAGATAAGTTCATATTTTAGCGAGTTGTATGAACTGGAACTATGAAAGGTTTTTCTGCCGCCGAAATTGCACTCTTAGCATCACTTGAGCACCGAATGCTTGAGCTGTGAAGTTGCCAGTTGGTAGGATAACGATATGTGTCAATTGAGAGGCATGTGAGTTAAACAAGACAAAAGTGGGTGGCCGGGTGGGTTGCATTCGGTTGTCTACTGGCTACCCTGTCCGGATGGAGGCTGTTTGGCATGGATTTCAGAGTCTGAAAGTGAACAAAAGGTGAGATAATGTTATTTTTCTGTTCCAACTTGTAAGTACACTTGTACTGTACTAGAAAACTCCGTCAAGGTGATTGAAACTTGGGAAATGATCGATAGTTGACGCCATCAGAAGAATGGACTTGATTAAAAAAAAGCTAGAAACGACGGCGGCTTGAAAGGCAATAATTGAAAATATTGACCCAAAAGAGAGCAGTACATGAGACAATAGAGACGTACTGAATTGACTCAAGCGTGGAAAAAAACATGGTCAAGCGTCTTCCTTGTGGACGCGACCTATATTTAATTGATTGAATTTTGATCTAAAGACTGAGAATCGATAAACGTGAAGAGACAGTATCCCTTTCTGAAGGGGAGGCGCAGAAGTTGCGCACAGCACCGGTATCCAAGTGAAGCTACGGTTGGAGTTTCACTGAAATTCGCAGAAATATTCATGCTTGAGCCACGCCTGATAATATCACCTTTGGAGATCCAAAGAATCATCCAGTGTACTAAATGAGTTTTTTTAGCAACTACAGAAATGTTGATCTTGGGTTCAGAGATCTCAGCTACCTTGATTATCCTCATGGATTCTTAGAACTTGCGCGTACTTTTGTCCCAGAAAGGCTTCCTTGGCTCCGTCCTGCACTTCTAGTGGCATTCAAGACCACTTCAACAATGCACATGGTAAGACTGCCTCACACTTTTTCGGACTGGAGGAGGAAGTTCTGTTGGGAGCAGGCGAACGCAATATTTTCAGAAGACCCATCTCTGTTCAGCTTGAAGCTGAGTCCTGTTGCGACATGTTGCTAAAAGAATGCTACTCCTTAATCGGAATCACAAGACCGATGGATCATGTCCGGTCGTCGTTGTCTTCCGCGGCAATAGCTTCAGCCGCCTTGTTCGAGTTTGGAACCACACATGCACCATTTCCATCAACCAGAACTTGGGAATCTCGCTTTCAGTAAGCTTTCGCATCTCACATGCCGCTGAACCTCCACAAGTTTGTCAACCAGTTCAGACTTGCTGATAAAGAGCCATACGAGCAAGGAGTTGATGGCAAGCATTGAAATTCACGAGCTTGATAAAATGCAACGACAGACGTGAGAGGGTACAGAGAATTGACGACGAGAAAGTGGGCCTTGAGTACCTGGTGCAGCTTTGAAGTTGTGCAAGCCCATCCGCCTGCTGTTGGTCTGCAAACATATCGTTATTAGCAAATCTAACGAGATTGAGCACAGAATATTGGTTATTCCTAATCTGAGATTCGGTATTATCAACAAAATTTGATACACTCCCAACCCCGTAAGTATCATCTCAACCATAGCTATTTCTTAGGCATCTTCAGTTCATTCAGTCTGCCAGAATTGCAGTAGACGTATCCGTCTGAACGTATGTCAACCTTCACCTGGTTTAACTCAGCAGGCAGTAACTATTATCCAAATTCCTCCCAGAGATGTACTGCCGTAAACTCGGCAGTACATCTCTGAGAATACTACAGCGAATCGGCAGAAAACAAGAAAAAGTGACAGACAAAGAAACATCTGCAGATCGAGGTTGAATATTTGATTGCAACAAGAGCAACCAAGAGAGTACTTTACCTGCACAATGTAGGCGATTAAGCAGTGTAAGACGTGTGGTGCACCTCTGACGTGAGACAACATTTGGAATGCGTCCCACCAATAAAAAATATCGGGACACTCGGGTCCCTACAATCTAAAGACATAATGCGGCCAGCCACTTAAACTGTAGAATTTTACCGAATTTTGAAAGCTCCGAGACGCAGTAGGTAAGTAGACGGCATAGAGCAACCTTAAAAGCTAGTGTCTCAATCATCCGAACCTTCACCGACTTGACATGCGGCAAAAGCTGAACAGGAAGAATACGACTGATGTCTATTGGTGTCTTTCTACAGAAGAGGACTCAGGCAGAAATTCTTGACTAGGTTGCTGAAGAGGATCTCAACAAGTGTGTAAGCACGGTGCTGAGCGCTATGGATCCAGATTGAGGCGCGAAAGCAAAAAGCCTCCAAGGGACTCTGACTTCACTCGTCAAAAGAAGTGGGCGATGGACAGGAAGAGATCACATTCCGAAAGATTAATGTACAACAGAAAACTGCACGAGCCATCGCTGTAGGCTTGACAGACAACCCCGCATGCACATGCACAGAAACAGCGTGGGGGGGACTGACTACTTGCTGACATATGCAGGAGGTTTCAAATCTAGTCATCTGACATTGCGATAAGACCGCAAGCAATCCAGGTCCGCCCATCGTCGACAGATTAATCGTGTACACCGTCCTACCCTCCCCCTGCAGATCTGGAAAACGACTCGTGCAGGAAGCTGGACAATTGTAATCGGTAACACAGTCCGACTCCATGGCTCTGGCTATCAAGCTGATGTAGCAATGTAGGCAGTAGCTCAAACGACCTCTACCCGTATCTGTGATGTAGGAGCCTGGTCACGATCTCAGTCGCCCGACAAGCCTAATAAACTCCGAATAACCGACATTTCCTTCGGGTTCTTTCCTCCTTCCACTGACAATCACGACATTTATCGTCCTGATCACTAGAAGAATTCTATCTGAATAGTTACTCCTTACACCTGACAGGTCTCTTCAAGAATTACCACTCGCTAATTTCTCTCCAGAGCACTGGGCACACATGACCTTCGTATCTTGTCCACGAAATGCAAGTAAACCATTTCCTACGCAAGTCGCATCTCTAAACCACTCGGCTAAAAGTGATTGCAGTTCACATACAACAAAGAGATTCTCGCCTGCTTGAAACTGCGTCAAGTAAGTTCGGCCTCCAGCCAAGTCGCATTCTAAGCAGGATCTCTCAAATTTGACACTGATGAAGGACGCTTCACTGGGGAGAAAAAGCTCGCCATCCCTTCGTCGGGCCTAATAATTGAATTCAATTGGTTAAGGTACCAATCTTCCATTACAACACTTTGTAATAGAGTTCACGGTGACTGGGTGCGTCGCGTGCTGCTTCATTTCGATTTTCTAACGATGGAGCCAGGAAAAGGCATTTCTCTCTTCAATCACCTTCACTTGCAAGAGGATTAACCAATTGCTGAGCGAGAAAAGCGAGTCAAATATCAACCGCGACTACAAACCGAAATATCCAGAAAAAAAAAAAAAAAAAAAAAAAAAAAATGCACAGGAATTGCTCAACCATTCGACTAAGAGCGTCCGCACCATTGAAACCTAGTAATACCTAGGGCACGATAACCTAGGGCACGATAACCTAGCAAACATCTTATGGTCCGAGAGACGCCACAAACTGTGCATAGTGCGGCTGTAACACCTTACAGCCCTAGCTAGAACAACCTAGAAATTCAGCAAGTTTCATCGACAACATCTGAGATAGGGCTCCAATCTCAACTTTGAAAAAAAAGACGACAAAAGCTCACCTTACATGGCTAGTATGCTTGTGCATGTCGACAGATTTGTTTTCGCTTTCCAACTCTTGAACTGTCACACTTTCTATGACGGCACTTCCACATGATCGCGCGCATGCGGAATTAGGAACTAGACTACTAATATAGCTACTGTCACCAGTGGGAGGAGATATATTCCTAGCAAGCAAAAGTTTCACAAAAGATGAGTGAGAAGGAATGGGCATACGTACGGTTGGAACCTCAGCTGCTCAACGTTGTGATAGGTTCTAGTTGGTTTCACGAAGCTCGAGTCATAAAAAAAAATACAGAAGATATCACAGTAATTGGACCTGGATGCCTAAGCCGTACTTCACAATTCCCTGTAAGATAATTCGAAGGATTGACAGAAATACAGATAATTGCCCCCCTTTAAGACGCTTGGCTATGTAGAGTGTGCATGAGGCTGAGCGATAGGGAGGCAAATGGCATGAAACCCCGTCCTGGGATGCATTTGCTAACGCAAGCACTCTAAGAGGAAAGTATCAATGACACGATTATGTAAAGATTTAGAAGAAATCTACGGAAGTACACATCAGAGCGTACTCACAGCTTCCAGTAGTGGCTCCGTGACTTCGGAAGTGCCGCTCGAATTCTGCTACACAATTCAGAAGAGCGGAACAATGATGAGGACAGTGTCAACTACGTCCATATCTGGAGAAACCAACCAACCAACCATATTCGCACGCTAACATGTCCAAAAATGCCAATATCCTCCAGCAGCTCCGCGATATGCGCCACTGGATCGACTCAAAGACTGTGACCCAGCGAGTGGGATTAAAGTTACATAATACTAGAACCATGGAGTGTCGAATTCCGGAAAATAACACTACGTTGCAGAACATGAACACCCCAACCACGCACGTTTTTCATTTGTGTAGCCTTTCGTAGACACCACCGGTTCTCGAACCAGGTCCTCCTACACCACAACGGAGCTGAACCCCTGCAGCGATTCATCACGCCTGCACAGACTTCGGACTACGTATACTTCGAAAGCCTGAGATTCTAAGTTGCGACTGCACCACACTCGCGAAGGACGTGACATCAAGTCTCCAAACATAAACTACCTAGCGTCTCTAAGTTCGCTGTGGAGGTGAACCCACTCCACAGCACACGGCCTCGCGACGCGACGCGGCGCTATTGCGGAGCTTTTCGAATACCACACTCATCTCTGCGCCGCTGGGGTGGAATGAGGACGGACTCTAGTGTCGTTGTTGAAGCGTGAGCGCCCGCGCACACTTCTGACGACGCGTAACACGCACGGGGAATGGCTTCCTCGCTCTCTCGAAAGATGCCGCCGAGCCAATTTTAGCAGTGGGGGGGGGGGGGGGACCCCGAAGACAGACTTCCCCTCGCAACCACGTCGAACTGAGATCGCGCGGGGCTGTGCATGCTTAAACTGGCAGCTGCCTCACACGCACACACTCACCTACATGAGTGTGTTAATATAACTGCACCTATCTAAATATATATAAACATATAAATGAATAGATATGGGCATGTGTAAAGGGGAATCTGACGGACCCAACTCGGAACCTGCACCTGCAACTCTCTCGTTGTAAGCCTGGAATGGTGAGTGATTGAGTGAGTATATGTGTTTGTGTGTGTGTGTCTGCATGTGTGTTGAAAAGTGAATAAGCATTGGGTGTCGGAACCTCGCGTTTGAAGTCGCTTGTTTATTGCATAGGAAGGAAGGAAACACTGAGAGATTAATGACGCATATGTGTGTGCGTGTGTGTGTGTATATATATATATATATATAGGTGTGCAGACACACCCACGTATGAATTTACTTTGTGGGTTGTAGGATGTTGAGAAGAACTAAGTCGTGTATACAAATGAATAAAATTAACAGACATACATACAAATGAAAAGAACAAGGTAATCTGCTTGTAACTCAATCATGCAGTTGGATTCAAAGATTTGTTTCCTTCCAAGATGTGGGAAACATGACACATATTCTTTGAGTTGAAGAATTTGAAAAAGTTATTTGAAAAATTATAATAAAATCTTATAATTGTAATTAGTATATGTGTGCATGTATATATATATATATATATATATGTGTGTGTGTGTGTGTGTATGCAAACACTTAAAATCTATGAAACTAAATGTCTTTATGATGAAATCATTAAAAGTAATTATAATTTTTCTTTTGTTAAAATCAGATTCTTGGACATCAAATGAATGAAAAAATGTTATGTATGTGATTTTTGTAGGTAGTTTCAAAACTATCACTATAAAATTTAGTTCGACATATAAAGCTACTTTTTACTCCTATTTCAACAAGTAAAATATGTTTAAAATAAATTCAAAAATCTAATTATTTTTATTTAGTAAAGAAACAGTAAAAGAAAGAAAGAAAGAAAGAAAGAAAAAGAGGACTTGAAAAATGAATCCTAACATATTTTATACATTTGAAACTAATATATAAAAAATTATATTTTTTTAACATAATTTACCAATTACAAGATAAAAATATTGATGAAATTTAGTCACTTCATTTGATTTGATAAAGTTTTTAGGTACAAATAAAATCTATATTATATTTCAGATTATAATAAACAAAAATTTAGATTAAATAAAAAAAAATTAAGTTCTTCTTAATATATATATATATATATATATTTACCAGTGGTTAAACCATGGCTTTGCCAAGGTCAAGTACATTTTTTGCAGCCAATCAATTCAAGAAAAAAACAAACAAACAAACACCACATCGACCAGGTGCGGGTTGGGTATATTTGAGCCATTGTGCCAGCCCAACCCATTCCATCCTCTAATCCCAATAATTGGATAACTTGGAAGTAACTAAGTTAAATCTATAATTGGATCTTACCACCTTATTGCTCCAATCAATGGGATTTTTTGATGCTCCAACTAAATGTATACTAATCGATATTTTTAAATATATATATATATATATATATATTTATCCATATTTGACACAATTTCTACTTATGAGTGAGCGGATTGTTCTTTTGTGATTAATATTCATTTGTGTTTTTGTTAAAAAAAAAATCATGGACTTGAAATTATATATTCTCTTTAAAACTTTTGGATCTAAAGAGGCTTTCCATCTTTTTGAATGTCTTTTGTATGAGAAATATTAGTATTTTTCAATAAATTTTTTATAAAAGATAACAAAAAATAGATTAAGAAACGCCACAAGAAATTCAGAATACAAACTAAAACCATCATAAACTTTAATAGATTTGAAATTTTAGAAACATGTGAAAAAGGTTTTATAAAGAAAGTTATATATATATATATATATATATATATGTATGTGTGTGTGTGTGAATTCAAATAAAATATAAAAAAAGAGATGTAAATAAGACTTCCAACAATTAATATCACATTCCAAAAAATATATAAGTTTGTTCTACACCAAAAAAAATGATATCAACAAAAATACACAAAAACATAAAAATAAGTAACTAACTAATGAAACAATACTATTCCAAAGATTTTCTTAAAAGATGAAAGAAAGAAAATGAAGCAGTCAAAATCTTTTATTAGATCCAAAACCTCTAAAATTCATGCTCATGAAGAACCCTCCCATGGAAAAGAAGACCCCCATGGAAGGAGGGGGGGGGAGTTTGTGAGGATGGTCTATGACCGTGTGTGCCCTATGGCCGCATGGCCACTTGGTGTGGGCATGGGTGTGGGTATGGGGGTGGAGACTCTCTTGTAGAGCGCGCAGTAGCTGGCAGCCAAAACAAGAGAAGCCCATTAAATTCATTGAAGAGGACGACAACAAAAGGTGGCCCATGTGTTGAGTTGGGTGCATGGACAATGGAAAATGGTGGCTCTTCTCGGTGGTTCATTTGGAACACAATTATTATCACATCCCCCCCCCCAACTGGCATCTATTTCTTCTTACAATTTATTGTGCCTGTTTTTGTTTTATATTGGCATACAGATGCTAACATTCAATACAACTTTCATGTAAGCATGAAAGAATTGGAAATGAGAAATGAGTAACCTTACGCTCTTCTCAAGAAGAAGAGAAAGACGAGAACTTTTTTATATTAAAAAGAGAAAAAAAGGGCAACTAATCAATAAACTAACTGAAAATGCTGGCTTTGAAGACAAAGTATTCGAAATAGTAATGACAATAACGACAATGAAAAAATGAAACTGATGAAACAGAAGACAGTGGGAAAATGAGATCATTCATGTTGTGAAACTTACAGCAGGTGAGTATATGTGTGTACATATATATATATATATATATATATTTTGCATGATTGGGTTGCTGTTTTGGAATGGATGAAGGAAGCAAACACATGTCTTTGTAAAATTGAACACTGTCTTGTGCTCTGATAATTTGTTTCATTTGTGGTTTTTGTCTCTACTTGCTACACATTTTGTATGTCTAGGTGTACATGTGAATGTGGGCACATTCCCATGTGTATGTGTTTGGATGGAAGCCATTTATGCCACAAAAGTATTTTGGTTGTGTTTTGTTTTCATGGTAGTTCTTTTAAAATTGTTAGGCATTTTGCGGATCTGATCTTGCATACACTTTTTTTAGCATAATTTAACTCATGATCAAATATATAGAAAATGAAACCTCTATTCTTATTTTCTTTAAATATATCAAATCCAATTCAAAGATGCATACTTATATTTGTTTTGAAAGTAGACTTGCTAAGGAAAAAACTGGAAAAATTTGTTCTTTACATGTACACACACACACACACACACACATATATATATATATATATATATATATACATACCCAATTTATTGTGGTTATGCATGGTTTGCTAGAAAGTTCATCCAAACGACTAAATGCCATGATCCTTCAATAGAAGCCTGCTGTTTTTTTCTTTTTTTCTTTTTAGAAAGTCCCAATGTAATTTCCAACTACAAGTGCCACTGGAACACTTGGAAAATTCACAAAGCAGAATCTAATAAAAAAAACAAAAAAATAAAATATATTAAGCAGACAATCTCAGCAATCAAAGGCCATCTAGGAATAGTGTTTACATATTTGGCATAACAGGAGATAAAAACATTGCTAAATGTAGACAAACTATATGATGATGTGTTGCCAATATGCAACCTCACACATGCATGGAACTATTTTTTTAACTTTAAGCAAAGAAAGGAGAATTCAAAGTTGATCAAACATGGAGAACATATAAACAGATCAATTTTGATACAAATGGTATGTATGTGTTGTATGAGTACATTGGCAATAGGCAACTACTGATAAATTACTGGAGATACCAGAGTGAAGATCTCAACACATGTATTACAGCAGAACTGTAATTTCTACTCATACTAATGAGTATTAAATATCAATCTTTCTTCAAACTAAATTTTCTTGAAATTTGAAAATTGATTGCAAAAACATAATAACTTTTCATCACATTTTCAGAGTTTTTTTTTTTTTTTTTTTTTTTTTTTTTTAATCTTTTTTCATTTTTGAGACAGTCCCAATAATTGTAAACCATCAACATGTATAGTATCAAGCAAACCATTTTTTCATGCAGTTTAAAAGCTTTCCAATGACTCCAGATACATGTTCATATCTATATATATATAGATAAAGATACATGTGTGTGTGTGTATTCAACCACCTATTTTTGGAACCATGGAGAGCATGTTTTGATGTTCAGAAAGGCTTGGAAGGAATCCAATGGACCCGAAGAAGATTATATCACCCCCAGTCAAGCAAAATCCATCGTGTCTTGACAAGGTTTCGACCGTTGACTTTGCGTGAGAAAGTCAACGAGACGTTTCGCGACGGCTGCGGTAACGCGGAGGTCAACGGAGCGCGCAAGGAAGTCAACGACTGGGGGATCGAAGTGCAGATTCCATCAGCTCATGCTCAATCACGCCAACTGGGTTTGCAGTCTGTGTAATTGGGCAAGTTATGACAAGCTCAGACTGTTGGTCGAAGTAGAACAATGCTCCCACAGTTGTACACTCGGCGCGTCAGTTCATGAGCAGTCTCGAAGACGGTACCAGCGATCATATCATAATAAGATCTTTACTATTCACGGGGTAGGATCCACGCCGCGCATGTCGTTGTTGGAGCTATGTATGGACTGGCCATCTTTGGAGGCTCTTGCTTCAGTACGCCAACTGCCGATTCAGTTACTTGCAGAAAAAGTTTTCAGTGTCTGGTGCCTGCAGAATAGTCGTTTAGAATAGTAGAGTAGATGAACACCTGAGTTCAATGTTGCGTTATTTCTTTGGAGTCGTTTGGTTGATGACTCTGTGAATCGTCATATGGACCAGTCTCGATGTTGTCGGGAGGGCGGATGCTATTTATCCCCGAACCATGCTTGTTTTGCACGCGTGGTT